GGGAAAGGGGGCTGGGTCCCCAGCTGGGGACCTCCCTTCCCCACCCAAGAAGGTGCCCCACATACGTGGACCCCAACCAGTCCAGGGAGGCTCCTGGGGGACAGGCAGGGGAGATGTCCAGTGGCCCTAAGTAGCCTCTGTCCAGAGCCTCTGCACCACCACGGCTGGCCTCAGTGACCAAGATCAGAAGACGGTTCTCTGCGCCACAGTTTGCCTGTGAACACACATGTGTGTGCACACACTCCCAACACTTGGGGGCCGCCTGTAGCAGAAGCCTCAGGTGGAGGGTGGGCCAGATCTCGGAGCTTTGGGGTTCTGGATTGTCCTCTGGGGTACAAGCAGGGCAGGAGAAGACCCGGGGGCTCCAGGTGCAACACTCCCACCCCATTTGACCATAGTGACACCCCTTTCCCCCCCGCCCCGGGGAACCAGGGTCCTCTGAGGTTTTACTGGAACCAGGATTCCTGCTACTCCCCGAGCATGGTGACCATTGAACTAGAGATGTCCCGGGTCCCCCCACCATTAGTCTGTTCCTTGGGTCAGGGCTTCCCATGCGAGGCCAGCCAGCAAGCATGCACTGCTGTCCCGGCATGGGGCAGGAAGAGGCTGGCGCTGCAATTCAGGGGACCATCTGTGTGCATGCTTCCCAGAGGCAGAGACAGGAACTGCTGTCCTTCCGGGGGCTCTCGAGCCCAAGGCCTCCAGGTCAGCGAGAGCCTGCCCCTCGGCTGGCGTGATGAGGCTGACCGGGCAGGACAAGGTACTTCAGCCCTGTGGAGGGCAGAGCCGAGCTGCCCGGGGCCGGCCAGGCTGCCGGGGACTCTTTCCTTGGCCTCCAGGCTGGAGGTCCAGTCCCCAGACCTCTGAGAAAAGACAGGTCCGGCAAAGGACCCGCATACCAGCAGGAAAACGCAACAATGTGGGCCCTGAGTTACAGGGCCTTGCTTGTCCAGTGGCAGCAGCAGAGACAGTGAGAGAGACCAGTCCCAGTTATAGGGCAGGCAGGGGTGCGGGCAGGGGTGCGGGTGGGCAGGGGTGGACCTGCCAATCTGGGTGGCCAGCCCACCCCAGGGTTCCCGCAGGGGTGGCTTCTGCCAATCCTGGGATGGCCAAAAGTTCCTGAAAACATGCCCCGCTCCTTCCCCTGACCTTCACAGCCAGAACAGGGGCTGGGCCTAATAAAGGGGGGCAGGGGTCCCACATACCTGAGTGACCACTGCCCAAGGGGCTGGCCTGTCACAAGGTGCTCAGTGAGAGAAACCAGACCCGTGTGAGGGACCACACTGCCCCCAACCATAGGAACATGGCGGGGTGGGGGATGGGCAGTGCCCGCCGAGGGGCGCAGGGCCTCTTTCTGGGGTGCTGAAAGTGTTTTGCAATTAGAGGTGATGCTTGTACAACCCTGTGGATACCCTTACAAAACCCTGAATCTGCGTTCTAAACAGTGACCTTTATGGTGTGTGAATTATATCTCAGTAAAGCTGTCCAACTTAGTAATCAGGTAGCTAATACCTTAATGTGATGTGTTGAAGAGTCACAGTCACTGAGGAGAGCCATGATGAGCAACAGCGCAACCCTGATTCACGCGACAGCCAGAGCAGAGCCGCCCAGGGGCCTGAGGCGAGGGCAGGCCCGGGACTGCTTGCCGTCGGCCTAGCACCCCTTCAGTCCACGCCCCCAACGCGCACCCTGGTCTGCCCATGCCAGGCACTGGGGAGTCTAGGAGCCTGGCCAGCCTGCGGGTGGCAGCCTCCTTGGTGCCGCCCCCCCGCCCCAGGGACCTCCGGGCCCCTTGATTAGGCCCCTAATAAAGAGAGGGAGCCTACTGTGCATTTGGCCCAGGTCCTCACCTGAGGCTTGGGGAGAGGGTCACATGAAGGGATGGGCCTGAGGTGGGAAAGGGGGCAGGAGGAAGCAGAGAGCACAGGGGGTGCTGGGCAGGGGCCTTGGTGAGTTTCCTGGGGCCACCCTGACAAATGACCACGAGCTGGGGCCTTAAAATAGCAGAAATGGACTCTCACAGCTCCGGAGTCTGGCCCTGAGCTGCTGGCAGGCCTGTGCGCTGGAAAGATATAGGGGAGGCGCCTCCTGCCTCTCCCAGCTCCTGGTGGCCCAGGTGGCCCACGGCCATGTCACTCCATTCTCTGAGTCTCTCCGGTTCTCATAAGCACCCAGCCAGTGGATTGAGGGCCCAGCCCTATCTAGTATGGCCCCATCCTGACTGTACGGCCCCATCCTAACGTGGGCACATTGACAAAGACGCTGTTTCCAAACAAGATCCCATCGATAGGTCCCAGGACTAGGACACGGACATACCTCCTGGGGGGCACCATTCATCCCGCTACAGAAGTGAGGGACCCAGGGGCAGGGCCAAGGGCACAGGTCGGCGTCCGTAGAGCGCCTCCTATAAGAAGACGACACACGAGCATTTGTGCACACGAGCTCGCCTGGATTCAGCCCACAACCCCACGCTCGGCAGCGCCCCAGGGACACTCTGCTTGCTGGGACTTCACCCCCGGGGGGGTCAGCGCACCCACACCCCAGACCTGCTGCCTGGGGGGTAGGGGTGGGGGTCAGGTGCTCCTATTGTCCCCACCCGCCCGCCCCCACCTGTGGGGGGTGGGTGCCACTGAGAAGGGGCTGGGCCTGTCGCCCGCCCCCAGAACTCTCCTCCACAGGCCTGCCCACCACAGCCGTGCTTGGCCGGGTGACGAGGAGAGGGGTCCTGGCATTTGCTGAGGAGCCCTCAGAGGGCAGGGGGCAGCCACCAAGGGTGCCAGTGCTCAGAACCAGCCAGGCACCCCCGGCACCCCCAGGGGAACATGCCAGGACCTGGGAGGCAGCGGAGGCTCGAAGGAGCCTTGTCCTTCTGTCAACATGGCTCGCTGAAGAGGAAGGGCTAATTGGTCTCACACTCCTTGGGCTCAAGGCAGGGCTGGAGGGCAGAGGGAGGGGCAGAGAGCAGGCCAGCTGGGACGACAGTGTCCCCAGAGCTGCGAGGTGGTTCCCGTTACCCCTCCAGGCCAGCTCAGCCCAGAGCAGGGGCCGGGGCTGCGGGCGCAGAGGTGTGGCCCGACTCCGGACAGAAATGAAACCAGAGGGGCCGCCAGGAGCTGGCCATCTGTCAGCTCAGGGCAGGCGCTGGTTCCAGGGGCCTGGAAACTCACATCAGGCTCCCCACCCCTCATGTGCGGCCCAGGCAGAGATGGACTCGGACCGGACCCTCCAGAAGATACCTCCTCCAGAGCGCCAGGCGGAGCAGGGCTCAACGCTGGGCCAGTCCCACTGTGAGACCCTCCAGTGCTGCTTATTTATGTTTTCTGTTTGATTTATGCTTTATTCGAAGCAACGTTTCCCATTCCATATATTTCTTTTTTTTAATCGAGGTGAAGTTCATATAACATAAAGCAAACCATTTTAACATGAACAATTCAGGGGCATTTAGCACTCAGTATGTGCAACCATCACTTCTATTAAGTTCTAGAACATTCTCCCCACTCCCAAACCCCAAAGCTGTTAAACATGAATTCCTCACTCCCTTCCCCTCCAGCCCTCGGCAACCACCAACCTGCTTTCTGTCTGTATGGATTTGCCAATTCTGGGGATTTTACACAAACGGAACCAGGCGCTATGTGGCCCTCTGTGACTGGCTTCTTTCCCTGGATGTAAGGTGTCGAGATCCATCCGCATCATGGTGTGCGGTTCATTCCTTTTGTGCAGAGCGGCCTTCCGCTGTAGGGACACGTACGTCGGGTGGCAGTCAGTGTGCCTGCTGGGGACCTCGGTGTACGTGCGGATGCGCAGGTGTGCATCCCACACTGGAGCACGGAGCACTCGGGTGTGTTGGAAAGCGTCGGGGGAAGAATGTGGAACCTTCCACCGTTGGTCCCAATCATCCCACTCTTGTGAACGCTGCCAAGGAGCAGGAGACACTCCCCTGGACAGAGACGCACATTGAAATAGCATCTCTATGAGCAAAATGCTGGGATCTGTTTGGGGTCCAGCAGCAGATGGCCATTGGAAATTTCTGGAAGGTCCTCAGCTCGCCAGCCTCTTATGAAGCTGTGACAAGGTAGCACACAAAATGCTATATGAATTTCCCGGTGATGTGTGAGCGACTCTCACACCAAGAAGGCAGATCTCAGCACCATGTCCACGCTGCACAGAATGACCAGGGAAACCCGCGCAGAGAAAGTGGTGGGCAGGGCTGGGAACAGGCTGCACCCCAGGGTCTGCCCTGGTATTGGGCCATGGCACCGTTTGTGAAAACCAGCGGACATGAGGGGTCTCCCGGCAGGCCAGAGCTGGGAGGGGCTCTCAGGTACATCGGTCTCTGGTGTCCCCGTTCTCAACCTGGCGACTGTCCTTTCAAGGGGCCTCCCCAGCCAGAGAGGCCGGCCCTGCCCGGGGTCACACAGCCCTGCTCCCCGAGACTGCGGGAGGCAGCGTGGCCTGACAGACGGGCCTCTCCTCCCCCTCACCTTTATGGCCAGCCCTGACACGTCTCCCTGGCCCCCTACAGCGACCTGGGGACAAAGGACAGCCGCCCAGCCCGGCTGCTCACTGGATGCGGTCCCATTGTCCAGGGGCTTCTGGTGGCTTCTCGGACATGCTGGCCGGCCTGCACATCCTAGGTGACCCTGGCTGGCCTGGTCAGCCCTCTCCTGGCCCACCACCCTCACCCTGTAAGGCCAGCGGGCAGGGTGGGCCCTAATGCAACAGACAGAAACTCCTCTTGCTCCCCGGTGCCGGCCACTCTCCCCACCCCCACCCTGGGCTTGGGGAGGCCGGGCGCTGCTGACAGTCAGTCTGCCCGGCCCGGCGTGGATGTGCCAAGTGCCAGTGAGCCCCTGGGGGAGGCAGGCCAGTGCCAGGCCGGAGTGCCCGGGAGGGGCAGGGGGCGGAGAGGACAGGTGCAGCCCAAGCTGTAAATAGGCCCAGTGGCTGCAGGTATAAAAGCTGGAGCTCCCACAGACTATCAGCACCCCCAGCCTGACCTGCCTCCCCAGAGCCCTCGAGCGAAACCAGGCAGAGGTGAGCCTTGCCCAGGGAGGGGTGGTATGGGCTCTGGGCCCAGCCACAGCTGCCCATGCTGCGTGGCCAAAGCTTGTGGCCTCATTCTCCTCCGTAGGACAAGCGGGGGCCCAAGGGGCTGAGGAGACCCCAGGGAGGTCCAGGGGAGGCAGGAAAAGGAGGCGGAAGGGGAGGCGCAGCCCCAAGGGAGCCCCAGTCTTAGAGGCAGCCGTGCACGCCTGCCTCGGCAAGGGTGGGCATGTGAGCACGCATGTGCTTACGTGGGCCTCTGAGAAAGTGCTAGGGTTTGGGGGAGCAGGGTGGGGAGGCTGAGACCTGCTCACTGACCTCAGGGACCCAGGCGCTGACTGGGGGGCCAGGGAGCCTGGCCGGGCACGGGGTCCAAGGCCAACAGACCCACTGACTCCGGCGGGCACACGAAGTCAGCTCTGGACACCTGGGACCCAGTCCCCATCTGCTGGGGCCCCTGCCTCTGTCACCTCCCCCCCCCGGCCCCCCAGCCCATGCAGCATTTTTTCTCATATCGGCATCTGAACTTGGGGACTCACTGGCAGATGCTAGAAGCAGAACACAGCCCCCAGGAGGGCTACGCAGGCGGTCCACAGTGGTCTGGGGTGGGGCGAAGTCCCTGCCAGCCTTGGGAGGGCGTTCAGGGCACAGCAATACCCGGGACAGGTGGGGGTCTGGGGGGTCTTAGCCAGGTTTTAGAGCTCAGTCCTGCTTTGGCTGTGGAGGGCAGCGAGGCGGGGGGAGGGAGGGGTCCTGACCGAGGAGGACAAAGTGGGAGCAGCCCAGGAGGCTGGGCAGGGGGGCGCAGGGCACCAGAGAGCTGGCTTCGTGTGGTGCCCGCAGTCCCCACCCCCCAGCTCTGGTGAGACATGTCGGCTTCCCTCTGGGGGTGAGTGAGACGCCATCCCAGGCCCTGGATCAGGGCTATAAATAAACCGCCAGCAGCCCGAGGCCCCAGGTCCTGCCCCCGCACCAGCTCTGATCTCAGGCTCCCCTGCCTTCCTGTGGGGGGTACCTCCCGAGAGCAGTGGGGTAGGCCTGGGTGGGGAACAGACACAGCCCAGGGCGCCCAGCGTGCTCTGCAGACAGGATGTCGACCCCAGGCTCTGCCAGACCTGGCCTGGAATTTGGCCCAGCCCCTTCTTCATAAAGCGTGGGACACTGGCTCTGATGGGGCCCCAAGGGGCAGGCGGGACAACCCCTCCTTCCAGAATGGAGTTCTGAGATTCTGGCATGGGAGAGGGGGACAGGGGCTCAGCTCAGGATGTGGGCTGGTGGGGCCCGTCCTGTGGGCCTCTGTGGCCCAGGTCTGTCCTGGCTCCCCGCTCACCACCCCCACCCCGCCTCCCAGGCCGACCCCCCAGGAGCCGGCTTTTGGGCATGATGCACAGGGGACCCAGCTCAGGCCCCATAGCCCTTTCCCCAGTATCTCCCTTCCCTCCTGGCTCCTCACAAGACCCTGAGAAGGGGCAGGATGGGCAGGGATCTCCCCATTTCACAGAACAGCTGTGGGGCACGGCCAGGGTCAGGAAGGAGGTCACGGTCCTGGGGCTCTATCCAGCACTCCCTGCACCCCCAGGCTGCCAGGCTTGAGCTGCAACCTTTGACCCGTGGCTTCTCTTTTGGGAGGAGAGGAGACTCCCCCGGCCACTGCCCAGCTCCCCTCAGGATGCACGGGCCACTGGGCTGCCCTTCCTGGACATGGGAGTATGTTCCAGAACGTTCTGCCAGCCCGTGAACTTTTGAGAGGGCCAAGGAGCCTCTGAAATAGCTGTTTTGCCACCAGCCCCAGAACCCAACCCCCCCCCTGGGGACAGCAACCTGAGAGCCCAGCAGGTCACAAGGCACCGCCTCGAGGGCCACAGGACAGCCTGGTCCCCACCTGCTGGCCCCTCAGCCTGTGACCAGACCCCCACCCTCCTGGCTGGACTCCTGGCCTGCCTCGGTGGCTCCTGTTTGCCACGGACTCTCTGTGAACTGAGGACAGTGACACGCACACGTCCACAGGGCCTGTAGGCAGATGACTGGAAAGGGGGCAGTGGCCCTCCCTGCTCAGAGCATCTGGGCATTGCTCAATGCAGAGCCAACTCGCTGCAGGCAGTGAGCGGCCTGCCGGGAGGCCCAAGGCCTGCTGGTCTGGGGTCTGGGAGAGCGAGGCCCAGGCTGTGGGCCCGGAGTCATGGCGGAAGGAGGTGGGGCTTCAGGTGACCAAGAAGGCTTCCCAGAGGAGGCAGCTATGAGATGGGCCTGGAAGGACAGAGGGAAGTTCCCTGGTGGCGTTGAAGGGTCAGAGGGCAGCCACCACCTCTTCCAAGCAGAGTGAAGGACCCCGAGCTCATCACTTGCTGTCTGGGGGCCTCAGCCTCTTCTGTGAGATGGAAGTGGTGCTCGAGGTGGCCAGCCGGCAAGAGGTGGGGTCCTCAGGCGCATCTTCCCCCAGGGCCTTGGACACAGGAGTCTCTGCAAGGCCAGGCACCCCAAGGGCCTCTGCACCCTGGAGACCCTGCTCGGGAGGCAGGAGTTGGTGCCTTGTGGGGACTGTGTCTGTTAGAGTTAGGGGTAGGGGTAGGGTTAGGGGTAGGCAGAGAGCCCCCGCCCCGCCTGTGTGCACCCACCGAGCTGGCTCCTGTCCACCGCAGGGCCAGGATGGACGAGGACTTCTCCTCTCAGATGAAGAAGATGGCCTTGGCTATGGGCACGTCCCTGTCGGACAAGGACATAAAGATGCTGCCCACAGACATGAGGCATCACGGTATATATAGCACACCCCTCGTCCCCAGCACGGCCTCCCTGCCCCGGGCCCGGCCCAGCCATGGTCAAGGAAGCAGTGGACACTGGAGCCCATCTGTGGGCTCCCCCTTCCCTGGGCTGAGCGGCGCGGGACACGTGGGGTGGGGGAGGGGAAGAGCCGGCCACGGCAGGCCCCGCCCCAGGGCAGACGCCTCCCTCCGCCCCGTGACCTGTGCCTGACTGTCCCAGGCTCCTTCGACTACCTCAAGTTCCTGGAGTACATGCAGAAGTTCCAGGCCTCGGGGCAGCTGGAAAGTGCCATCCGCCAGGCCTTCCAGACCCTGGACAAGGACAGGAGCGGTTTCATCGAGTGGAATGAGATCAAGTAATGGCCAGTGGCTGGGGGTCAGGGTCCTGAGCCCGGGGCCGGGGGCCAGTCCACGGCAACCACGCCCACCTCAGCGGAAGACCTGGTGCCCCTCCCTCCCCAGTGGGCCCCAGCTGGCCTCTCGGGAGGTGGGGCCGCCCGGAAACAGTCCAGGTCCACAGCACTGGGGCCAGGCCCAGAGACCCCTCTCCAGCAGGGCCTCAGTTTCCCTGCCTGTAAAATGGGGAGTGAGCACCTTGCAAACCAGTGGGCACCAGCCGGACACCCCTCGGCTCTGACCAGAGCCCACCCCTGGCCCCAGGTACATCCTATCCACCATTCCCAGCAGCGGGCCCACTGCCCCGCTGACAGACGAGGAGGCAGAGGCCATGATCCAGGCGGCCGACACGGATGGGGACGGGAGGATCGACTTTGAAGGTGGGTTAGCACAGACAACGGGGCCAGAGGTCCCTCTCGGGTCTTCCCAGCCCGCTCCTCCGGGACCCCACAGCACCGTTAAGTGCCCATGTGGGCACAACACTGAGTAGGCTCCCCGACCCCAGGCAC